GGGGCGCCGCCGATTGCGGGTGGGGAGAGCCCTTTTCTCGTAACAAGCCACAGTATCTGGCGTGAAAGATCAGTGAACACATTTTAGGGTTTTCCCTTTTCCTTACCGGGACTTGAAATACCAAAACAACAATGTCATGAAACCACACACTGACAACTTTACCTTCATGTAACTTCGTTCACACCATATTCTAAAAGGTGCAGTCTCCTCCACCAACCCTTACCTCTGCAAACGTTTTATAGGAAAGTAGCCTTACGTCTGTGTGTCCCTGTGACATCAGGCAAGCCTGTGCATTGCCTCCAGCCTCTACCCTTTGGTCCGCAGACAAGGAGCCTCCGCTGGTCCAGCTGTCTGCTTTCTTCATTTGATCAGCATCTGTCGTCTGAAATTTAAACGAGTTTTAGTTTACACTTACGAAGTTTGGCTATCCTGTTCCTTCTCGTTCTCTTTTTCGTGGGTTTCCTGTTCCCTTTCGTTCACTTCTTCGTGGGTTTCCTGTTCCTTGTCGTTCACTTCTTTGTGGGTTTCCTGTTCCTTGTCGTTCACTTCTTTGTGGGTTTCCTGTTCCCTGCCGTTCACTTCTTCGTGGGTTTCCTGTTCCTTGTTCACTTCTTCGTGGGTTTCCTCTTCCCTGTCGTTCACTACTTTGTGAGTTTCTCGTTCCCTGTTGTTCACTTCGTGGGTTTTCTGTTTCTTCTCGCCCAGTTTCTTGTGCGTTTCCTGTTTCCTATTTGTTATCATGAAAGAGACTTTTTTACGAAGTTTTTCAGTACGCTCACTATCCTTATTTGTCCACTTCTTAAGAGAGCTTAGACTTTTTACCACTATCAATGCTGCAACAGCAGCAGCAGCAAGGGTGGCTATAGCTCCTGCTGCTGTTGCTACGAGGTACATGAAATCCATTTTCAAGGGCAGTACTTAGGAAATTGTACTGTACAGTAATGTTTTGGCCCTGGTCTTTCTACATTAAAGCTTCGCATCTCTCGTCCATCTCACAAGCACAAGGGAGAAGCGGTAACTCCACTCGACGCCATCCTCTGTCCTCTCCGCCTGGCAGGAGTGGTCGCAGTGCCTCCCAGCAGGCAGTGCACGAGCCCCCGCAGGGGTTGGGTAGCGCAGCTCCCAACAGAAGCCCGGGACTGGTGCTACAGGGAGGGTTACCGCTTCGACCCTGTCTCCTCAGTTCCCTCTTCAGCCATCATCCTTTTAGGTCCACCACCTTCTAGATTTATTCCAAAATATCCTGGAGTTCTCCTAGAATCATTTATTTCCCCATACTGTCTGTACAACTTGAGTGTGTGAGAGTAAGTTTCCTATTAAAAAACACTTAAAATATCAGTAAAAAGAAACAGTTGGGGTCAGAAGCAAGGGATTATCACCCCATTCTTTACAATTACTGGGAGGAAGTGAGAGTACCTACTGGCTAAAAGCGTGACAGGCTTGCGGTCACACAGATTTGGGTTGTAGTCCCAGGCTCCAGTAACTTACTAGCAATAGGACCTTTGGCAAGTCACTTAACTATCCAAGTGCCAGGTTCAAAATCTGTTGAAGAAAACAAACATAGCTACTGGGTTGTTTTTATTATTAAATAATGTAAGGAAAGCCACAGTGCCTAGCACTAAAAAGGCCAATACATGGTAGGTCTGCCACTTGCTAGAATATATGAACTATGTTGGGTTTTGTATATTGATCAATGTATCTAGCAACCCTGCTGTATTCTCATAAATTCTAGTATTTGTAGTTTCTTGGATCTTCTGTGTATAGAACCATATGGCCTGGGAAATAACTAATTTTTTTCTCCATTTTTAATCCTAATTCTTGTTTTGTCTTAATTATGCTGCCTAATCTCCAGTAAAAGGTTGAATATAAGCTGTAGTGGTGATCATCCTTGTCGCATGCTTAACAGTAAATACTTTTGTGTTTATGATGTAAAAAAAAGCTAAAACTATCCTTTTTTCTTGCTAAGTTTTTCTAAGTGGATACTGAAATGTAACAAATGCTATTCATCTATTGAAATGATCTTTTTTTCTCCCTAAATCTGTTAATGTGGTGAATAAATTGATAAGATTTTTCTAATATCCCTGTATTCCTGGGATAAACCTGATATGCCATCCATGATGGTTTTTAGATACACTGGATTTAGCTTGTGATTATTTAACTTTCTCATTCTTAATATTATTTGAATCTCTTCTTGGATCCTATCACTAGTGGTTTCTTAAACTGCTTTTGGCTTTCTTGCCTTATTATGTCTTTGTTTTCTATTTCATCTGCTCTATTATTTCCTTTTATACTTTTACGTTTACTTTGTTCTTTCTCTAATCTACTGAGTTTAACACCTAGCTCAATAATTTTCAGTCTTTCTTATTTTCTAATACATCTATTTGCAGCCATAAATTTCCTTCTAGTTACCATTTTAGCTGAATCTTCTACCTAAATTTTCAAACATTTGGGATAGAGGAGTAGGCAATGGAGATAAAAAAAAAAGCTTTACTGATTATACTGGTATTAGATAAATGTGTTCATGGGCTTGTAATTATTGCACACCAGAATTATCAGACTTACCTACCTAGTTACAGTAATACACTTTGTTCCACATTAGGGCCGGCCCCTGAAAAAATTCAAGGAGAAAGATCAGAGTGTGTGTAGGCTTCCAAAAAAAGTAAGAAAGAGGTTAAACTATTCCCAAATTCATCAAGTTACTTCTCCAAAATTTTAGAGACAGTTTTTACTTAGGTGTACCAAAATGTTTACCAACTTGTTTCATTGCTTCTTGCCTCCCTTCTTCCTTCTGGGTTGTTTTATTTCAGTAATTATTTCAGTAAAGGTCTCTGAATGGTGAACTGTTATTTTTTTGGTCTGAAAATCTTTCTTTATCTTAACTTTTGAATAATAATTTAGTTGAAAGAGAATTCTTGATTGACAGTAACTGTCCCTTATCTTTTGGCATCTATTATTATTGATGAGTCTAAATACTGTTCCTTTGTTAAGTCATGAGTTCTGTTTTTCTCCTTTTAAATTCTGTAGTTTCATGTCTAATGTGGATTTTTAAAAAATTATTCTGAACTTTTTATAACCTGGGGATGGATTTTTTAGATTCTGGCAGTCTCAGACATTGTCCTTTAATTATTGCCTCTCACCCCTTTTTTTCAGTTTCTTCTGGATCTCTACTAGAATGTGTAGGGTCTCTTTATTCTAACCTGTATAACTCAGCCTTTTTTTGTCATATTTTAATTTCAAGCACTCTTAAAAATTTTTAGATTTTGTTTCAGACTTGTCTGTTATTGTTTCATACTGTACTATTTGTATTATTTTGCTTCCTTTAAAAAATCTACTAATCACTTTAAACATTCTAATTTTATAGTCTGTTTTAGAGTATTTTATCACATTCTTTAATTCTGACTGTTTTATCTACCAACCCGGCCATACAGTGCTTGTTTCCTCATAACGATTCATCATGTTTTCATTGTAAATTCATCTTCAGTAAGGCTGCTTTTATTGTGGGATTTTTATGTGCCCTGGGTCACAGAAGTATCCAAGGGGTTTTGTATTTGTTTCTATCGGAGTCCTGAGGAAGTCACACTGGTCTTAGAACATTTTTAATAATTGTTTGTAGTTCCTGTATCGCAGATACTGCTTATGTTTATATCTTATACTTTGTGGCACAAGCCTAGGGATTTTGATTTCTCACAAATGACTTTCTTTTTCTATTCACTGCTTTGAAGTGGTTGGCAATCCTGCTTCTCTACTATGGCTTGGTGCCTAATTTCCTAGCTTCTGTTAAATAAAACTCCTTCCAAGCTTTCAGCTTTATTGGACAGTTTGTGTGGTTGGTAGGCATGGTGTGTTAAGTCTCAGTCCCCTAAGTAACATTTCATTTTCTTTTGTCCTAACTATATACATGTCCTAGGCTTCAAAGAATAGGCTTTTGGTCTAGCAATTTAGTATTAAATTTCTGTTTGCTCTCTATCCATTCCATTCAGGATTTTAAAGACTTCTTTCCTCTAAGCATGTCCCTGAACAAATTGAAAACTTTCATCTTTTCTTACTTTATATGGGAGACTATTCCTAATATTGCATTATTTTAATCACTTTTCTTTGGGCCTTCTTAAATCTTCCTTTTGTTATGGTAAACAGAACTGATAGTGTAGAAGGAAAGGAAAACATATTTTATTTTGTTTCTGTAACTTTATCTTATGTTGACTGCTGCAAGAAAACATGAGTTTTCAAAAGTTAATTTTTTTCTCAAGTGATAACACTAATATATTAAAACATATAGTTTGGATTATTTTCCTAAAAAGATACTTTGCCATATGCAACAGGAAGTTCATGTACCTCATTTTGGTTTTGCCCACTCACAGCCTCATAAAAATCTTCCCATATTTTATCCCCATTAGTTTAATATTCCTTTACGCACTAAAATGTTAATGTCTTGGGGGTTTCAAATGTACTATCTTCTACAACATTTCTGAGAAATAAGACAGACTCCTGTATGAAAACACTGGAAACCCTCTTTTCTGTCTTTAAGCCAGTTACCAATTCTGAAAAAATAATACTCTCTGCTTCTTAATAAAGTCAGAATCAAGGAAAATAAAACTCAGAACTAACAGTTTTAAACTTCCTTTATTGTCATTAATACAAAGTACACAAACTAATTTTCAAGGGGATATTTCTTGTTCCAAGATTTTATTTGCAAGATTTTATTTATTTTAAAGATAAAAGTTGGCAGATATGCCATTTTCATCTTTTCCTTTCCAACTACAGGTTTACAGTGTCATTAAAGTCATTATCAATTTTTTTATGATCAGATCTAGGATCTGTGCTTATTAAAAGCTATGTGATACCATAAACACTATACACAGTAATAACTGAGCTGCCTTAGTATAGATGTTACAGAAGAAAGCTTACTTATGCCCATAGCTATCATGATATCTCCAATAAGCTTTTAAGAAATATCTGTCATATATGATTTTAAAAGATGGGGAGAGATTATATTTAAAAGAGTATCATTTTAAAAGGAGATACTTTCATTTCTTGGATTTTAGCATTATACATTTTAGTTTTTATCACAAAAGTAAGAAAAGATTTTAAATGAATATAAGTAACATATACCACTTATAATAAGTAAGATTTCTCATTAAAGTGAATTTGACTCTAAGTAGGAAGTAAACCACATTTTTCTAATTTCTAGTATTTAAATCCTTGAAAAAAAAGCCTATGCTTTATTGCAGAATTAGTACTTTAAGAAAATACTGACAGTAATATAACACACTATCAAAATATATACAAATGGCAGCTATGTTATTTGTATGTTTAATAAGTTAACTATATGCATTTCTCAATTTAATCTCCTGATGAACTACCTCTAATATCAATATTAAGGAATGCTTTAATTTTATCATATAATACCAACACCAAAGCACCCCCTGTACCACGAAGGATATTGGAGAAGGCACCACGAAAAAATGCATTGACTCCTTCACGTTGGTATATCTTCACAAAGCAGTCTAAAGTTCCTT